CCTAATTTTGACTATTGTGAAATTGTAATYGCCTCCTTTAAGCCTTAGAGTCCTCTTCAGTGGCCAAACTAATCTTTTCTTCCTGGAGAGAAAGTTTCCTGAAGGAAACATCCCAGTGAAAAGGGAATGCCTTTCCCTGCTGGCATTTACAACTCCACTCATGCTAATGCCCCTAATTTTTTGTGTCAGAGTAAATAACATTGGAATGTTTTGTTAGAGTCAGTAAAATGAAAATGCAAGCACGGGATAGAAGTGAGAGGAATTTCTGGCAGCTCCAGGGAAGTGTGAGACATTAAATCTTGTCCAAGTCTAGCAACCACCATMAGGAGATGTGAATACTCCAAAAATAGAAAGGAAAACCGGCAGAACTGGAGAGCCCTTGTGCTCTGATGAAGATGATCCCAGTTTGGAGCAGAAGCCACTCATTCCTGACCCTGCCCAAACTGCATTTCAGTCAAAGTGCTCTGGTCACATCCTGAGCACAATGGGATCCGCTTTCACTCTTTGTCTCRCAGGAACACTCGGGTGGGGGAGAAATCCCGGTGCTTTTCCTCCTTTCACCCGCATCCCCTCCAGAAGCAGYTGGAGAGGATAAGCATTTCTTCTTTGAAGAGCAGTAAAAAATGCGAGTGAAGACACTCTAACCCCTGCAAGGTTTATTGGAGAGAGAGCAAAGTCTGCTGAGAGCTTTTGAAGGGCTGGAACTGCTTAAATCCGTATCAGACGGAGATATTTGCAAGGATAAGGGGTAAATACKGCAATTCATCCCAGAGAAATCAAAACCACAATCAATCAGTCAATCAAAGGGGCTGCAGTGAGGAGGAGAACAGCTTTAAACAATGTTTGTCTGGTCGATAGCACYGTTTGCTGCATAAATAACCATCCAAGTGAACATTTTATTGCTTTGCAAACACATTTTCCACACCTGGCAGTCTGTAAAACCTCCTGCAAACGCTGCTCTCAGGCTGCCCTGTGTCAGGATTATAAATGCACCCTACTCTGAGTTTAGTAGTRAAATTATCTCTTTTTATTTGTAAAATTATCCCTGTTTATTTGCAGAGTTATCTCTGTTCTCTATCCTGAAGAACCTGAAGTTCTCTGTCTGGCTTTGTTTTCATTTTTYCTGACAGCTACAAATGTGCAGATCATTTTCTCTCCTTGGTGCTGTTTCAATTCTCAGCTATTTATTTTCAGGGACAGGGAATTGCCAGTGTCACTGGCCAGATACAACTTCACAAGGTTTGTTTAGAATTTTCCTATTTCTCACCTTTTTTTTTTTTCCTTTTTTTTTTCAAAAAAAAAAAAAAAAAATTAATCTCTCTTTCTCTCTCTCTGAGTTTCTTTCTCTCAGTTTCTCTTGCTATTGTACCATACCTGAATTTCCCACTTCCCCTCCCAAATTTAAAAGGCTTTCCTTTCCTTCTTATGGGTCTATTTCCCTATCAGCATTATAAATTTAGAAATCCTGCTTAATGTTTTAAAATTCCTAATTTGCTTATGATGATAAGATTTCCCTTGAAAATATATTCCATCGGGTGAAAAAGACAAAATTTTTAAACCTGTGCTTAGGAAGAGGCTATTAAATGATCATCAAATAKTCCTAATTGTAGATTATTTTATATTTAAAACACTGGAAAATGGGGGCTGCAAAATGTGGCAATACCAGATGTGTCCTCCAGATGCAGTGAAGCTTGGCTGGATTTTTGCTCCTCATTCCTGGAGGCTCCTCAGTGGCTCCATGGTGGCCTCATGTGTTTTACACCACAATTGTGTTGTCCCAAAATTGGGGTTTTTTGACCCTYGAGAGATGAGCATCAGGAGAAGAGCAGAGAGAAATCTTTGGTAAAGTTTTATCCTTTTGAATCCTAAGAAATACTTTAGAATGCCATTGTAAATAAATAAAGAAAATTGCAGATTCAAAGGATCCATAGCACACATTTTTGAAAACCAATCTMATTTTGAGTGTTTGGTGATGCTGTTTGAAGGAGTCAGATTGGTTTCATGTTTTTTTTGGAAAATGCCTTGTAGAAATTTTTGCCCTCAAAGTGATCATCATGGTGGAAATGAAGGTGCAGGGATTCTCCCAGGGRTAATATTTTGTTGTGTGCCTTAATAAAATACATCCACTTCTTTTTGCATCTCAGGGAGTGATGGCAGTGCTTGCATGGCTAACTAAGAKGGTCTTTGATTTGAACCTCCTGCTGAAATTTGGTTTGCTTAATTATTTTAATGTCATTWATTAAAATGCACTATTCTTCATTTTGTGTCCTAACACACAATGCAGACATCATGTGACAATCCATAAAAAGCTGTGTTTCATTGGTAAATGAGATKTTGGAACTCTTAAGGTGGAAAATATGATAAATGTATCTCCCCTGTTCTGTAAAACTTAGAACAGAATAGTATCAATAATTAATAACAGTAATAGCAAATGTTTATTCTCATGATTTCCCATTTTTATTCCTCATTGAAGCTTTATCTGAGTGGGGAAGCTCTGAAAATAGCTAAAGTATTGTTTTTCCTGGCCAGAATTCAGCGGGTTTTTTCTGATGGATGACACAATCTGGTGACCCGAGTCTGGTTTGGATCCACCAGAAGTGACCCTTAATGAGGACACTGCTATGGTGACATTGACATCACAATTTCTTGGCTTCAGCTTTAATTTTTTTTTTTTTTTTATTCCATGATTTTGTTGGCAGGAATGAGGAGTTGGACTTTGCTGCTGTGAGCAGCTGTTCTTGCTGCTCTCACTCTGCATCAGGTGGAAGAAGGAAATGTGAATATTTGACAGCCTAAATTGGCTTTCAGTGTTTGCCAGGGTGTAACTTGTCAATATTTGTAAATTAAAAGAGAAAAATGCCTGCTTTTGGTTAAAGGTTGGCCCAATTATACCTTTAACAAAAATAAYTCAGTGCAGGTGGACAAAGCACGGAACAAGAAGTTGCTTCTGCACAAATACGTTTTAGAAACTATGCTGGTCATTCTGACATTATTCAGTGGCCTCCCTTCACATCTCAGCAGGAAATCCTACACAAACAGAACCCAGTTTAAAATGGGAAATGTTCCTATCTAGTGCAGGGGAAACTCTTTAATCCTGGATGGCTTCTGTGGATTTTTGAATCACTGTGTTCAGTTTCTCTCTTGATACGGACTGGGGAGCTTTGAGATAACAACAGATTTGATTTTTGTCTCAAACTTTGCCAGCCCAAGCAATCTGAGGGGTTTTGTGCTCCATTGATGGCTGAGTGGGAGAGGTGGCCAGGCCAGAGCAGCAAAGGATGTCCCAGAGAGCCCTGGGGTGTGCAGGGGTGAAAATGAGGTGAGGGAATAGGGGGGGTTACACATGGAGAGTGATGAGACTTAAACCAACAAATCTACATTTGCTGCACTGCAGAAATATTGTGGCTTTTCATCTTGTAGGTGGTTTTGGTGAGATATTTTTTATCCTTCCCTTAATTGCCAATCATTTTGCGGAGAAACACAGAGTTCAGCAAACCTGAAAATATCCCCCACCCCTCTGGGACGTCAAGTTCCTTCAGCTGCAATTCTGAAATCTCAGGATGGTTTCAGGGAACAAACAGCAATTTCCTCATTGTCTCACTCGAAGGTGATGCAGATGTTTGAAATCTCGGTGCCTACTGCGCAGATCAGGAGCGCTAAACATTTCATCTTGATTTTCCTTCAGCACCACCTACTTCCTGGAAAATTTGGAAGCCTTGCATTTACCACTTCAAATCCCCTGCCAAGTTCCTTTCAGWGTTTTTTTCCCCCTCCCCACTCCATTTTTGTCTCACACGTTTATTATATGGTGACAAATGCAGTTTTCTTCTGCCATCACATAATAGAACGTGTGAAACACACACACATGTTCTAGRGAGAGACTGCTCTTTATTTCCCAGCTCCAGTTGCGAAACACGAGTCAGGGTTGGAAAGGTTGTGCCTCTGTCGGAGCCGTGGGATCCACGTGCTCAAACTTTGCTGGGTTTTGCTGCAGTCGTGGGGAAAAATGGCAAMTCTCATTCTTACATTTCTGTACTCGGTGTTTTCTCCTCCCCCAAGCACGCCAAATCTTCGTTTTATAATCACCATTCCATTGTGTTGCTTATATTTTCTTATTTCAGGCATCGATGCTGTCATTACCAGGAAAAAAAATACCTCCAGCTTCTAAAACATAGATCAAAATACCCTCCTATTTTTCTGGCTTTAATGTAAAGAAGAAATATCACTTTAGTGTGTATTTGCTGTGAACCTCAAGCACTATTTTCTCTGCATTTCCGCTGTGTAATTGCAGGTAACATCCCCTAGCATCTCCACAAGGCTCCGGTGACATGATATTCATTGTTTACACATCCCAGCTTTTGGTGCTCTGTGACCTCCTGTGRGGACCCCCAGTGAAAATTCAGAATCAGACAAGATCTTTCGTGAGCTAAAGTGGAACAAGTTAAAACAAAAACGAGCAAAACAAGCAGGCAAATARAAAGAGAGAGAACCGAATGCAGCATCACTTCCTGCTGGAACCAAACAGCCCTGGAATGTCACAGGGCTGGCAGTTTTTCTGAGTGGAAGAGAGGTGAGTGAAAGCAGCAGGATTGTGATGCTCCCACGTTAATCCCAAACAGGGTTTTTGAATTGATTTTTTTTTTGTTTGTTTGTTTGGGTTTTTTTCCCTAAGTGATTTTATCCCACAAGACCCCTGTGGTTGAGCTGCTCCTGCAATAGAATGACAAATAACGGGGTGACATACTGTGAAAAAATTTAGAAAATGAGAGAAAATGCTCTCCCATTTTCCAAACAGAGCAGAAACAACACTGATTCCGTTAGGCAAGGTGGAACAGACAATTAAACTGGGCATGCTTTTAATTTTGAAGCTCACCAGAGAAYGGACGCCTTTTTCAAGCGCAACGACTGTGGAAGTGATTCCTTTAAAACGAAGCAAAACCACTGATTTTTCCTTGCTAAAATCAAAGCATTTACCTCATACAAAGTATAAGAAATGTTACCTGTTGCCTCCACCATTCCTTCTAGGATTACAACAATTTCTAGCTCCTCTTTGGGCAACTGGGCTTTGGAAATCTCCCAGAAAGGACTCTGCTGGTTAATCTCATGGCTGATGATCAGTGGTGAAACCAAAAAGAGACGATCATCCCCTGTGTAATAACCTACGTTGATATCTGTCTGGTTGAGTGGTATAAATTCCCCCTCCTTTGTCTGTTTGGATTTGATCAACTTGGCTCGTATTGATGCCTCTACAATGTGTGAATTCCTAAGGTCTCCTACTCGGAACATCAGACACAGCTTCCCGTCCCGCATGGAAATGACTGCGTTTGTAGAAAAAACCAAGGTTTCCGCCCTCTTCTTGGGCTGGGATATTTTCACAAACATGCAGCCAACCATGAAGGCGTTGACGATAGAACCTAGGACAGACTGCACTAAAAGCAGGATAATTCCCTCGGGACACTTGTCCGTGATGACCCGGTAACCGTACCCAATGGTGGTTTCTGTCTCGATTGAGAATAAAAAGGCTGAGACAAACCCATTGAGGTTGCTGACGCAGGGGGTCCACGTGCTGTCCCCTATGTGATCCATGTCCCCTCGCATGTAGGCAATGAGCCACCAGATCATGCCGAAGAAGAGCCAGGTCACCGTGTAAACCATGACAAAGATCAACAGGTTGAACCTCCACTTGAGATCCACCAGGGTGGTGAAGATGTCAGTCAAGTACCGGTAAGTCTCTCTGACATTCCCGTGGTGGACGTTGCATTTCCCATCTTTCCGAACGTACCTCTGGATTTTCCTCTTGGCACATTCTTTGCTGATGTTTTTTGGCAGATCCTCTCTGGCTTGTTTGGGCAGCTTTGGTTGGTGGATAGTGACAGGGCTCTCGATGTCCTGCTCCATTGAGTCTTCTTCCAAGACGTTGGCTGCCACGAAAAAAAAAGAAAAAAACCAACAAGGAACAGTTATTATTCCTCTTATTATTTCTCTAAATCAACACACAGCTTCTTTCTGTGTTATGACTGCCACAAAATTGCTGTTAATCAACAAAGTTATCACTCTCTTGTTCTCTGCTAACCCATTAGATTCACCCCAAAAATTTAAATGATTCCAAGCACCCTAGTTTTGTTGCTAAACAGAAATAAAAGTGAAAGCAAACTCTCATTTTTTATCAGGTCGTCCTATCTACACCCATGTTTAAATTCCACGAGATGGGTTTAAGCAGATTTTCCTTCCTCTCCCTCCCTCCTTTTACAGTTTAATGAATGAAATTTCTTATGCACCAAAAAAGATCTTACGGAGATAGAGGAAATAAATGAGGGGAACGGATTCACTTGGGGGTGAGTGGAGAAAACAAGTTATTGTCGAGCTATTTTTTTCCCATCAATTGCATTGCTGTGGGGAAAGTATTAAATAAGTACGGGGAGGTTTTTTTTTTTTTAAAAAAAAGCCAGCGGTTTTTAGAAAGAACAGATCCTCCCCTTGCTGAAGGAAAGTTGTAATATCTAAGGAGAGCAATTCAAGCACACTTCCACAGAAAATCAATGTCCTGCCGATAATGAGACAGGGAATTGTCTGTCCTTCTCCCAGCAACGTAAAACCTACGGTACTGCAGATTTCATTTGAATTCACAGTGCCTATGGCCTTTAACTCGAGTGCACCTTGTCCTCTAATGATATGGGACTTTTTTTTTCAGTCTCCCAGCCTTTGGAGATAAATAGCTTCATTATGGTTAYGTGCCAGAGAAAAAGAAGAGTGTGCTGGGGAGGAGAGTGCCTTAATGGAATGTGGTTTGCATAGAGGACATGGTCAGGTCTGGGGTAATTGTTGTTTTTAACTGAAATCCTTCTGTTTCCTGGGGCTCCTTCCTGTGRGAGTTTCAGCTCTTGAATTCCTAATTCTTTTCTTCCAGCTAAGTGTTCTCATTCCTCAGCCAGGCTGCAAAGGGAAGAGGCTTCTGCTGGCTCTGCCCAGATGTATCGGAAAACAGAATCCCAGACTGGTCTGGGTTGAGAGGGACCTCAAAGCCCATCCWGTTCCACCCCTGCCATGGCAGGGACACCTCCCACTGTCCCAGGCTGCTCCCAGCCCCAATGTCCAGCCTGGCCTTGGACACTCAAAGGGATCCAGGGGCAGCCACAGCTTCTCTGGGAATTCTATTCCAGGGTCTCCTCACCCTCACAGGAAGGATTTCTTTCAATATCCCACCCAAAGAGCAGCCCTGCTGTGATATTGCACCATTTTTTATAGGTTACTGCACAAGGGGCTGCTCTTGGTGAGTCAGTGTGGCTCAAAAATAATTTTTCATTCTCAGAAACACTTGCTGTGCAGCAAATCCTGTGAGGAGTCTCCCAGCACCTGCAGCTTTTCCAAGATGTGCAGGCTCACCCCTGTGGAGAAAGATCACAGACCCCTGAAGAGTTTTAGGGGTGACTCAAAGACCCAGGGGGTAAAAAAGGTGCTGTAGCCTGGTTGTCTCCTCTCCTGACCTGCTCCTGTTTCAAAGAAAGACTCAAAACCTGATGGTGGCATGGAAATCTGAGAGCAATTCTGAGTTTTAAGGCCATGCCCCCTGTCCTGTGTCACCCTCTCAGTTTTCTGCTGTGTCTCAGGTGCTGCTGGCAGTGGCAGTGGAGCCAAAGCCACAAAATTTGAAGTTAAGGCTCCACATTTATGCTCATCTCTCCACTGGATTAGAAGGCAGTGATGAAGCAGGTAATGTGAAAAAAACAATGTGAGAAAAACCAAAGTGTCATCCTTACAATCCCTTTTCTAATCRCAAATATATCTCATTTCACGTCTTCTCAGTGAAAGCTGCTGCTGAAATAAATCTCAATCACATGCATGCTCTGCCCTGAAATTCGATTTGTGATTCTGTGGATGCRAATCTTGAAGAGATTTGCCAAGTCAGAGTTGACTGAACTCTCCAAGGTTCCAAAGCAAGGCAGAGCAAGGCTTCCAGCTGAGTGAACAGACAATCCTGTATTGATTTCAGACCCTAATTCCTGTTTCTTTCAGGAAAAAGGATCCATATTCTGTGATAATGACTGCTTACAGTGATGAGCTGATCACAAAAGGCTCCCTTTTTTCTGTAAATGAGACTCTTTCTCCTCATTTCTGGATCCTCCAAGAATCACCAACAGCCCAGAAAGGCTCTGGATTTTGAGGCTTCATGTTGAACTGCTAATGCTGATACAATGGGGTTAATTGCCTTTTAGCCATTATGAATAATAATAATTTAATAAAATAAGTTTAATAATCTGACTTTCCCCTCCCAGTCAGAGCCTGGCATGGACACAGAGGCCAGGAGGGTAAGTGTCCTGTCGGTTCTGAGGATATTTTTTATTCCTGGCCTTGCTGTTAGAGGGAATCATGTCCCAAACCTCCCTGTCTGAGCAACTCTTACCAGAAATTCTCCTGGGAGGGGGTTTAGGAGCTGATTTTATCCCTGGCAGCAGGAGGAATGTGGAGGGACACCCAGGGCTGCCCACCACCCCAGCTTTGCACACAGTATTTATTTTCCTGTGCAATACTTGAGCAATGAAGCACTTTTTATTCAGACACCAAATTTTTACTGGTGCTTTCCAACCACTTTTTGTGGATTTGGGACACTTTTTGTCACATGTCCACAGGTTTGGTAAAAGCCAGGAGCTGCTGTCACAGACAGTGGGATCAAGGACCTGATAATTCCAAAGTGAACCAGGTTTTATTCACCTGGAGAAGTTGCAGTTGAGCTGATTTTCATTTGGCTTTGGAAGGGGGCATTTTTGGGCAGCCAAACCCAGTGTTAAACYGAGGTCTCCCTCATTAGAAAATTTATTGCAGACATTTCACTCTCCCTGAGGGTATCTGGCCATTTATAAACTCCCCAGGCTCTTCCCAGTGCTGTCACTTCTCAAGTCTCAATCTCTGAGATGAAAAATTAAGGTCAAATTTTTTTTTTTTTTAAGATGCCCTTTTCCTTCTTTCCCTCACCCAAATTCACTCCATGAATTCCTTTCTGGAGAAGTTTCTAGACCAGAATCACGGTTTGTCACCCTCTCCTGGGCTGAGCTGAACCTTGGGAGCAAACAACCCCCAAAATAAGCGATCCAAAGATCTGTGTGTTCCCATGGAAATGCCCGGTGAAGAAGTTTTAAACACACAGCAGAGGCTGAGGAGCAGCCACATTCTGTCAGAGCCTCTGCCACAGAACTCTTGGACTAATTACATTTTTACTTGGTATCAGCCCAATTAACTTCTGCCGTTTGTTTCATCTGATTTTCCTTTCGRTTACATAACGGCTGTCACGGATCCAGGAGCAGGGGAGTGAGTAGCAGCAGGCTCACTTGGGAGCTATTTTTGCTCTCTCTGCTTTTTCTTCCTGACAAAAATATATCATTATTATTAATCTGCCCTGCAAAAAAACCCCAAAAAACAAAACCCCAAAAAAACAAACTAAAAAAMCCCTCCCAAAACCACAAAAACAAGCAAAACCCCCTCAAAAAATAAAAAGAAGGATAGAAAAATAAAGGAAAAATAAGAAAAAAAAAAAGAATATCTGGATGCTTCCTCCTCTCCCAGTAAACATTATGTTTGTGTGGATGAAACAGCCAGGTAATGAGCCAATTTAAGGCCAGTTTAGGAGGATTTTGTCCAAAGGATCTGTTTAGTGACTCTCTTAGGCAAAACCTACAAGACATGTGAGATTTCAGYGATTTGTTTAATTTCCGAGCAAATGACAAGGAGTTCTCCTAGACAAGTCCCTGAATAGTTCACTTGTGTCCTGGCTGTGGCCAAATTAGCAAATTAATTGCGCCCAGACCCGTTATTGAGCGTGAAGGATCCATGGAGTTGTGCAGCCCACACTCAGATTACTGAGCCCAGTTGTTTTCCAGGCAGGTTGGTGTCACCCAATCTGCCAAAGAGGAATAATCTGTGTCCTGAAATGGAGCTGGGAATTGCGTGTGCCCGCTCAAAACCATGCCAAAGGTTTTTTTTTTCCCAGAAATTTTACCCTGCCAGGGTTGTGTGCCAACRCTCAGAATATTTTATTTTTAAGTAAAGTCAACAAACATTGTTGTCCTGGTGTTGCCTACTCCAGAGAAGGCACAATCCTGTTTTATCAAGCACATATTTTTATTTGGAGTCTCTAAAACACAAAACCGTTGTCAAGAAAAAAGCAGGAGCTGTGCAGGACATGCTCTCTCCCTCTGAGGACATTGATATAACCTTTAAATCATTTTATCATCAACAATGCGGGGTTTTTTTTTTGTGGATTTTGGTGGTGCTGTGAAGACTTTGTCATGGTGCTGCGCAAACACAAAGCAAAAGGAGGAATGTAAAGGGTCTGCTTGTCCAATTTAAGTACTGGAAGCTTGTTTGGGTTGTGTATGATCTGCAAAATAATGAGGAGCTTCCACAGAGAATATTGCAAATGATATCTGACCTTTCTGCAATGGCAGCTGACCTGGAAAGTTTGGTGGATGTTTTGCTGTAATTTAGTCATTTTATCTCTTGTAGCACAGTTGTGAACGTTTTGTGTGCAAATTCATTGGAAACACCCCGATTTCAGAAATCATTTGTAATCTAAATATTGCTCCCGTGGGCTTTTCCTGCATGTGTTGAGCAGACTCTGCAGTGATTCCTGCCTGCATTCCTCATTTTCCTGCTGGGATGAGGGCAGCTTTTAAGGGAAGTGTTTGCACTCTGAAGTCCAAGCTTGGATTTTGGGAATTTTTGAGCTCTTCAACCYTCGTCTGCCATGTTCACAGCCCCCCTGGCCCCACATCCATCTGTGGGATATTGGGCAGTGCCTGGTGGCTCTTCGGGCTCCCTCTGTGAGGCTGTGGGGCTTTGCACAGCAAAAGGGATTCCTTGAAGGCCTCAACACCCCAAATTCAGGGCGTTCTGTTTCTCCTCTTGATGGCAGTGGAAGAAGTCAGGGAGRGCAAGAAAGGATTTTGGAATGCTTTGCTTCATCTCTAGCTGGTTTTTGTTTCAGAGCGCTGCAAAATCTCGTGTGGGATGAGCACAGAGGGCACAGGGATACAGGAATTTTGGGAATAGAGAGGGATTTGTCTCTGTGATGGACCCAGCCAGGTAATCCACGCTGTAAAACACTGCCATCCCCAACAGAAATGGGGAGAAAAAGTCTTGTTAACAGAAAAAGTGGAGCCTTTGTGACGAGCTCATCACTGTAAGCAGCCATTGTCACAGAACACGAATCCTTTTTCCTGAAAAAACAGGAATTAGGGTCTGAAATCAATACAGGATTGTCTGTTCACCCAGCTGGAAGCCTTGCTCTGCCTCGCTTTAGAACCTTGGAGAGTTCAGTAAACTCTGACTTGGCAAATCTCTTCAAGATTTGCACCCATAGAATCACAAATCGAATTTCAGGAGGAGCATGTGTGTGATTGAGATTTATTTCAGCAGCAGCTTTCACTGAGAAGATGTGACATGAGATATATTTGTGATTAGAAAAGGGACTGTAAGGATGACACTTTGTTTTTTTCACATTACCTGCTTCATCACTACCCTCTAATCCAGCTTGATAAAAACAAAGTTCTACTATTTTCATTTCTTTTAAGCCTGTACAGCTGCAAGAAATCAACCTGAATAACACTTTGTGTCTGTGCTGTACAAACGTTTCCATTCACTCCTGATTCTTGGCCCTTTTTTTATGGAGGATGGAAAACGAAACCGAAAACTCCAATTTAAAACTCCATTTTCGGCAGTCATTTGACCTTGTAGTTTTTTGCCTTGGATTCTCCCCAACTTCACAGCAGAATTTATCACTGAGGGCTCCAGGATGCTGTTTTTACATCTGCTTTGCTAAATTTATCTTTGTTTGGTTCACGGGGAAGCCAAAGAGCCTTGGCTCGGTAACATTTATGGGGCAGGGTAAAAAGGCTGCACGTGGTGAAGCTGCAAAGACGGGTAGAGACGGGTGATGATCAACATCTGCTGCCTTTCTTTAGGGTCCCAAACTGGATTATGGACAATGTTTGGTACCTGAAGCCTGAGCTCTTGGAGGCAGTGTTAATTCAGAGCCATCTCCAGTGAAAATACCTGGCACTTAACACAGATTCCTGCAATAAAGAGAGATTTCCTGTCTGATGAGTCTTTTACCAGAATTTCAGCTCCTAGAAAAGCTTCAGAGCAGGTATTTTAAAATCTTGATTTCATTTCCCCATTAAAATTTTCCCAACTGAAAACTCTGGGAATGAAAACGAGCTATTTTGCGTAGATAACTTTGCCCCAAACATAAGGTAATTTTCCTGCATTGCTGAACGACCTTGAGACAGCTCTGAATATTCCCAGAGCTCCTTGGGCAGGGGCCGGAACCACCTTGACGGCTGCACCAACACTTTGACAGCTTTGATCAATGAACTACCAGAAATAAAGGGCAGAGGAATGATGGAGAGGAATATTTTTGGTCAGAAAGGAAGGACTTTGTCCCATCAAGATGCTGAAGCAGTCGAGTGAAACCAGTAGCATGCAATGGTCCAAGGCTGAGGAGCAAAAACAAGAGCTTCTGGTATTTTCCTACCAAAAAAAGACTCTGTACATTGATAAAGACCTTGGATCTGATCAGTTTAAGCTTACAGAAGGTTAGAAAAGTATAAATCCCACTGGGAAAGACAAAGAGTTTGAGTTTTGAAGAACTGCCAATTGCTTTTTTTTTTTTTTCAAGGGAACAGAACAATTTTGGAGTACAGGTATGTGATTCCTCCTGCTCTCCAATTCTTGAAGGAATGAAAAACTATCAGAAACTTCCCTCTTGGAATTATATTCTTTTCCTCAYTCACTTTCCATCTAGACTCACTGCCCTCAGGTCACAGACATTGCCCAGGCATATTGATTTTCTCACTGCTATTGGTGTTGCACAAAGCTAAAGAAGAGGATGAAAAGACCGGAAAAATTGGAACAGACAGAAATTATAATTTTTTTAATCTGGTGATGAAGATTTCTTTCTTGATAACTTCCCTGCAGACAAAGGAAGATTTTGATGGCTTTTGCTTCTAGGAAATGTATTTCAGGAGAGCRGGATTTTATTTTTTTTACATGCTAGAGAGGAAAAATTACTGAAATGTTTCATGTGGATGCTGGGGAAACAACAATTCTGTGGCTGCTGCTGTCCCTCGTGGTGGTGGTTTGGTGGATGTTCASAGATTTCTGCTGGCTGAGGTGAATGTTGGTTCATTTGGCCTAAGATACCAAAAAAATACCTAAAATTTCACCAAAAAAACAAATGTTGCCTCAAATAATACCTCAGGGGGCAGGTAATTACCCCTCTTACAATTAGTTGATCTCAGTAGCTCTCATGTTTTTTCCATTTCTGCAGGTGATCCTGGGATTTTTGCTGTTTTTTTCAGCTAAATAATTAGGCCATCACTACCTTCATCCCCTTTCCCTGCCAAAGGAAGTCACAGAGAAATACAAAGACCTGGTTTCTTGCCGATGATTTCCCCTTTTTGTGCAGTTTATAGACTGCAGAGAAGTAAATAACTGAGAAATCAGGCTGCAAGTGACATTTCAAAAGACATTTGGAGAACAGAAATTTTTTAAAAATTCCATAATTTCAGCTGGGTCAATGTTTTGTTCCAGGCTGTGGTGTTTTGATAACCTGGAAATGGTGAGTTCAGAGCGGTACTTTAGCAATGTTTCCTGAGGAAATGAGCCTTATCCATCATTCTGTCCGGCCTCCTCTGAATCACCTCTGAAACTGGTTGGGATTGAGGATTTTTGGTTTCTTTCACATCTTCAGTGAGGTTTTGGAGCCCTCACAAACACTGAATTCCTCCCAACATCACGAAAAACAGGCTGAGTTAACCACACCATTGGACGCCAAGAAATCCATCTCTCTAAGTGGGAGCTACAAGAAATATTTATTTTTTTTTCTTAAGTGCTACAGGGAAATATTTTTTTGGATCACTATTCCACTCCATGTCCCTGTGAAGTATCTYCAAAAGGAAAAAAACCTCTGCTCTTGCTTTGTGGGCTTTGATTTTCTAGGCTGCATTTGCTTGATGCTCACATTCCAYGCAGGGACTTCCACCTTCAACAACAGCTCAGTTTGGGTCAGGCTTTGTGGCTTTGTCCACAAAGGAATTGGAGTGCAAGGAAATAAAACTGACTCAACTTGTGCTTTTTGTTTTTCAGTGAAAGGTTGAATAAACATATGTTTGTGTTCARTCCAGATATTTTCTTGCTTTGGTTTCATCTGAATGAAAAACCTCATAATTTTCTTTTGCAATGAGCATCAGCTCCACAGGATTTTATACCCAATGTTATACCCAATTTTATACCCATTTTATATTCATTTTATACCCATCTACATAAGAAGCTTTTWAAAGATGTATCCAGGCAATGCCAGACCCAACAAGAGTGGAGATAWAAAGTTAAAACCACAAAATAAAAAAAATCTTTCCATGTTAAACAAATAGCAACATTTTGTCTCGAAAAAAAGCAGTTTGGTGGTGTCTAAATTACCATTTACTGTGCTATTTCACTTAAGCTACATAATAAACTAAATAGGTCTATAAATTTGTTGGAAAAAATCTCAAAAGAGTTGCTGTGAAATTGCTGTAATTGCTCTAATTGCCATTATCCTTTTCTATAGGGATGTAAGTAGGGAAGAAAAGAATTATAAGCGCTGAAATATTTTTTGTAAATTGGGTTTGATTTGATCAACGGCATTTTCCAAAATATTTTATGAGGGAAAATACATTTAATTTCAAATTTTCAGGAAGGTGGTATTTTAGCTGTGAAATACTGAAATTTTAATGCTTTTAACAACAGTTTAATAATTCAGATTTGCATTTTTTTCACAGTAATATTTTACCCAACTCCAGGAAGCAAAGTTGTTCAGAAGGATTAAATAAACTAAAAATGGAGGGATTATATTAAAAACTCCATAATACCTGTTTTGGGTGAAGTAGGGGTTTTCTGCTTGTTTTTCTTACTTCGCTGAAAAGTAGAAAAGACTTTTTTGACTGCCCTTCAGTTTTCCTGTAGGTTTTTCTAATCTGACTAAAAATAATCCATCATTCCCCAGGATTTTTCCATGCACCAGTCACCAGTTTCCTCTCTAAAAATAAGGTCCTTTGAGGGCTAACTGGAACCTTTTGGAAAAAGCAGAAACACTTGGCAGTGCTGGACTCTCCCGCTATCCTAGACTGCAACATCCAATTTCTTGCAAATTCCTCAAGGAACTTTGATTCTGGGTGGCTGAAGGGAGAGTTTAACATAAAAACAAASTGCTGTTGCCAAATTATGTTTCATTTCCACATTATGCATGGGTCTCACCAGAACAGTGAGAATGCACCAGAACACCAATGCACTGGCATTACTTTTTTTTWAAATAATTGAGATTTTAGAGGATACATTCAGCTTGCAAAGCCCGTCCATCCTTAGTAGAGCTGGCAAAGCCCAGCAGGAGCACAAATAATTCAAAGCTTTTCGTAGCCCTTCAGATGTCTGGAGAGAAAAAGAGGAGTTTCTGCTTTTTCCATCTCTCCTGAGTTGTGCAGGGGAAGTGAAATGAGGGAGCTGCGTGTCAGGGATGTGGACATCAGGAATAYAGATCGCTCTTGTTAGAGCTGCTGCGTAAGACACTGCACTAAAAAGGGAATTTTGTGTCTTTTTTAGACAGGTACAGGCAGCCAGGCTCATTTAGAGAAATAGTTGATAAAGGAGCTGACATTTTAAAGAGAGAAGAGTAAACAAAAGTATTGAGCTCATGGAGGGGAGAATTTKATAAATTAATAGACTGGGAACGTGAACGTTCTTCTCGTGCATCCAAACCTCAAATTAAACAGAAAACTGAGGTGTTAAAAATAACATTGGCAGCTTCGGAGCAGCTTTCAGTGCATGAAATAAGGCTCAAACATTTGCAAACAAATTAGGCTGCATGTTGGGGAGGTTTCTGCTTTTTTTTTCTGCACCAAGATAACTCAGTGGAACATTTAAGACCGGCCCATCCGTGAGGTGGTGGCACAAGGTAAATTTATTTTCTAGGAATAATCATGTGCCAGGGCCTCCCCACCCTCCCAGGGAACAATTCCTTCCTAATATCCCATCCAACCCTGCTCTCCCTCAATTTAAAACACAGAAAAGGCTCTTGAACAGACAGGGTTAGACCCTCCAAGGKCTCTGACGCCAGGTTATACAGGAATTAGCAGGAAATGGATCACAAGGCTCTGTCAAGGCATGGGAAGCACTTTTTGCATTTTTTAAATATTTTCCCAGCTCTCCAATACACATATTCCTCTTTCTGAAGCCTTGGACATGTTCTCTGAGGTTCACAGSGGGTCCATAAGAAGCAGACAGATGCTAAGAAAGACATTTTGCCTCTCCTCTGAGAGAATGCTGTTCATGTAAATACTGTTCTCAGTTGACATCAGAGATGATTTGGCCTTAATTCAGCACTAAAAAAACGATTTCTGAGTTCAAATATAGAGCCTTGGATTTATTTTTTTCCTAGCCTTGCTAGTTTCCAAGGAGATCTAACCATGTAGATTGTCTGCAAAGGTGGTAATTAGCCAGCAGTGAACAAGATGGACACAAAGGACTTCTTGGCAAAAATCAAAATTTCCAAGCAGTTCTATCTGAGCATTCTGATCAGTTCTTTTCAGACATCCTAATTTGCCTCATACCACGGTTTTGTAAACAACTGGCTTTGAGACCAGWGCTTGAGCAGAAAAATGGAAAATGTCCTCAGATCATTGCCGATTGGGTTTTTTTTTTTCAGGATATCTGGCAATTAAAGATAAGATCCAACMAATTCTGCTGCCTATAAGTAGAAACAGTTGGGGTTTATAACCCAGTGTTCAGAAAAAAATGACAAAGGGAGGAGCAAAGGCGATGTATAAAACATGTTCCCATTTTTTATGAAACACAAATTTGGAGTGAGAAATCTTGGATATACCTTTGGGGCAAAGCAAAGACAAGATTTGGATTTSTACTTGATGGGAGTGAGAAAGGGTGAAGGAGAGGCAGGAAGGGCTTTTACTCTCATCTGGGAATGTCACCYGAATTTCTTTCTTATTCCAACCCACCAATACAACACCATTTCAGTATTTAATATCTGTATTTTCCTCCTTAGAAAAGGCACTGTTGAGTTGAAAAACATGTACCTAGTTTGATGAAAATCTACAGATTTTGAGCTAGAATATGGTGGTCAGTTAAAAAGCTATTTTCTGTTAAATTTCCTCATAATTTATGCTACAATATAACTTTCAGGCACATCTGGAATCATGCTGAAGGAGAAGCTTTAGAAGAGAAATATCAGTGGTGAAAAAGGGAAAATCTTCCAGTTTATGGCTGGATTGTCACTTTGGGAAGTGAAATGAGGGGTTGGGCTCTGCTGCCATGTCCCAAGGGAAAGGAGGAGARGAAATGGSCTCAAATTGCACCAGGGGAGGCTCAGGGTGGAGATTGGCAAAGAAAATTCCCTGTCAGAGTGGTCAGGCCTTGGAATGAGCTGCCCAGGGAGGGGGTGCAGTCCCTGTCTCTGGGAGTGYTCAGGAGGAGTCTGGATGTGGCCCTTGGGGACAGGCTTTGGGGTGATGCTGCTGGGGSTGGGGTGGCACTGGGTGATCCCAAAGGTCCCYTCCCACCCTGCTGATCCTGTGATTCTGCGATCATTATTACAATTTTCACAAGGCCCAGATGAAGTTTCTGACCTCGTTCCTGACTTTCRCACCTCCCCGTGTCCCAAAATGGAATGTTTGTGTTAACAAATGGATATTTATTTCCATCCACACAGAAGGTGTGGGAGTCATGTGTGAAATGAATAGTGAGGACCTGAGGTG